TAAGCTGGATCTCAACAACAACAGAAATAACAAAAAGCCAACACGCACATGGAAACTGAACAACTTGCTACTCAATGACAGCTAGATTAAGGAAGAAATAAAGAAAGAAATTAAAGACTTTCTAGAATTCAATGAAAATGAAGGCACAACACACCCAAATTTATGGGACATGTTAAAAGCAGTGCTCAGAGGAAAATTTATAGCACTAAGTGCCTTCAAGAAGAAATTTGTAACATCACATACAAGCACCTTAATGGCCAAACTGAAAACCCTAGAAAAAAAAAAAAGAAGCAGATACACTCAAGAGGAGCAGACAGCTGGAAATAATCAAACTCAGGGCTGAAATCAATCAATTAGAAACAAATAAAACTATTCAAAGAATCAATGAAACAAAAAGCTGGTTCTTTGAGAAAATTAACAAGATAGACAAACCCTTAGCCAAACTAACTAAAGAGCAGAAAGAATCTATCCAAATCAGCAAAATCAGAAATGAAAAGGGTAACATAACTACAGAAACTAAGGAAATTCAAACAATTATAAGGTCATACTACAAAAGCCTATATGCCACAAAATTTGAAAACCTAAAAGAAATGGACAATTTTCTTGATAGATTCTATCTTCCATCTCTAAGTCAAGATCAGGTAGAAAGACTGAATAGCCGTATATCCCCCAAGGAAATTGAAGCAGTCATTAACAGTCTCCCCTCCAAAAAAAAAGCCCTGGGCCAGATGGCTTCAGCGCTGAATTCTACCAGACCTTCAAAGAAGTGCTCACACCAATTCTCCTCAAACTATTCCACAAAATAGAAACAGAAGGTACATTACCAAACTCATTCTATGAAGCGACAGTTACCCTGATACCTAAACCACACAAAGACCCAACAAAAAAAGAAAACTTCAGACCTATCTCTCTTATGAATATTGATGCAAAAATACTCAATAAAATACTTGCAAACCGAATCCAAGAACACATCAAAGATATCATCCACCAGGACCAAGTAGGCTTCATCCCAGGCATGCAAGGGTGCTACAACATACGGAAATCCATCAATGTAATCCACCACATAAACAAACTGAAGGAGAAAAACCACATGATCATCTCCTTAGATGCCCAGAAGCATTTGACAAAGTCCAACACCCATTCATGTTTAAAGTCTTGGAGAGATCAGGGATACAAGGCACATATCTAAACATAGTAAAGGCAATATACAGCAAACCTACAGTCAACATCAAACTCACTGGAGAGAAACTTAAATCAATCCCACTGAAATCAGGGACAAGACAAGGCTGCCCACTCTCTCCCTACCTCTTCAACATAGTACTTGAAGTCCTACCCAGAGCAATAAGACAACTAAAGAAGATTAAGGGGATACAAATCGGAAAGGAAGAGGTCAAAATGTCACTATTGGCAGATGATATGATAGTATATATGAGCGACCCCAAAAATTCAACCAGAGAACTCCTCCACCTGGTAAACACCTTAAGCAAATTGGCAGGATACAAAATCAACTCAAAAAAATCAGAAGCCCTCCCGTATACCAAAGACAAAAGGGATGAGAAAGAAATTAGGGAAACAACACCCTTCACAATAGCCACTAATAACATAAAGTACCTTGGGGTGACACTAACCAAGCAAGTGAAAGACCTATTTGAGAAAAACTTCAAGTCTCTGAAGAAAGAAATTGAAGAAGATATCAGAAAATGGGAAGATCTCCTGTGCTCATGGATTGGTGGATTAACATTGTGAAAATGGCTATCCTGCCAAAAGCAATCTACAGATTCAATGCAATTCCTATCAAAATACCAACTCAATTCTTTACAGACATTGAAAAAAAGATTCTCAGCTTCATATGGAGAAACAAAAAACCCAGAATCTCCAAAACAATCCTGTGCAAAAAGAGATCATCTGGAGGTATCTCCATCCCCGATCTCAAGCTGTACTACAGAGCAATAGTAATAAAAACTGCATGGAATTGGCATAAAAACAAAAAGGAGGATCAATGAAACCGAATAGAAAACCCAGAAATAAACCCATACACCTATGAATACTCAATTTTTGACAAAGCAGCCAAATCCATTCAATGGAAAAAAGACAGCATCTTCAACAAATAGTGCTGGTCCAACTGGATGTCTACATGCAGAAAAATGAAAATAAATCCATATTTATCACCCTGCACAAAACTAAAGTCCAAGTGGATCAAAGACCTCATCATAAAACCAAATGCTCTAAATCTGTTAGAAAAAAAAGTGGGGAACAGCCTAGAACTCTTTGGCACAGGAGACAACTTCCTGAACAGAACACCAACACCACAGGCTCTAAGAGCAACAATCAATAAATGGGACCTCATGAAACTGAAAAGCTTCTGAAAAGCAAAAGACACTGTCATCAAAACAAAACGACTGCCTACAGATTGGGAAAGAATCTTCACCAAACCTTTATCTGACAGAGGATTAATATCCAGTATATACAAAGAACTAAAGAAGCTCAAAATCAGCAAACCAAGTAATCGAATTAAAAAAGTGGGGAACAGAGCTAAACAGAGAAATCTCTGTAGAGGAATATCAAATGGCAGAGAAACACTTAAAGAAATGCTCAACCTCATTAGCCATCAGGAAAATGCATATCAAAATGACCCTGAGATTTCATCTCACACCCATCAGAATGGCCAAGATGAAAAACTCAAGTGACAACACATGCTGGAGAGGTTGTGGAAAAAAGGGAACCCTCCTCCACTGCTGGTGGGAATGTAAACTGGTTCAACAACTTTGGAAATCTATCTGGTGCTTTCTCAGACAATTAGGAATAGTGCTTCCTCAAGACCCAGCTATAGCACTGCTAGGTATATACCCAAACTTTGCTCAAGTACACAAAAGGGATACTTGCTCAACCATGTTTATAGCAGCTCTATTTGTAATAGCCAGAACCTTGAAACAACTCAGATGTCCATCAACGGAGGAATGTGTACAGAAATTTTGGTATTTTTACACAATGGAATACTACTCAGCAATCAAAAAGGAGGAAATCATGAAATTTACAGGCAAATGGTGGGATCTAGAAAAGATCATTCTGAGTGAAATATCCCAGAAGGAGAAAAACAAACACGGTATATACTCGCTTATATAGACCTATACGATATGATAAACATAATGAAATCTATACACATAAAAAAGATAATCAAGAGAGAGGACATGGGGTAAGATGATCAATCCTCATTTAGAAAGACAGATGGGATGTGCAGTGAACGTATGACAGGAGTCTGCTGAAGGCATCTGAAAGACTCTACCTAGCAGTGTTTTCAAGTAGATACAAAGACTCATGACCAAAACTTTGGCAGAGTACAGGGAATCATATGAAAGAAGGGGAGTTAGTATGATGTGGAAAAGATAGGAGCTCCACAAGGACCAAATATATCTGGGCACAGGGTCTTTTCTGAGACTGACATTCAACCAAGGACCATGTATGGATATAACCTAGAACCTCTGCTCGGATGTAGCCTGTGGTAGCTCAGTACCAATTGGTTTCCCATAGTAAGGAGAACAAGGACTATTTCTAACAGGAACTCAATGGCTGGCTCTTTGACCTCTCAACAGGAGGAGCAGTCTTGTTAGGTCACAGAGGAGGACTTTGCAGCCAGTCCTGAAGATACCTGATAAAACAGGATCAGATGAATGGGGAGGAGGTCACCCCCTATCAGTGGACTCTGGAAGGGGCAGGGTGGAGAGCAGGGAGGGAGGGTGGGAGTGGGAGGTAATAAGGGTGCGGGATTCAGCTGGGATACAGAGTTAATAAAATGTAACTGATAAGAAAACATAAAAATTAAAAAAAAAGACTGATACTCCAAGCAAGGACCATGTATGGAGATAACCTAGAACCTCTGCACAGATGTAGCCCAAGGCAGTTCATTTTCCCAGTGGGTTTTCTAGTAATGGGAACAGGGACTGTCTCTGACATGAATTCAGTGGTCATCTCTCCCTGATGGGAGAGCAGCTTTACCAGGCCACAGAGAAAAACAATGCAGCCAGTCCTGATGAGACCTGATAAGTTAGGGTCAGATGGAAGGGGAGGAGGACCTCCCCTACCAATCGACTAGGGGAGGGGCATGGAAGGAGACACCTGGAGGGAGGGTGGGACTGGCAGGGGATGAGGGAGGGATACAAAGTGAATAAACTAATTTATTTCAAAATAAATAAATAAATAAATAAATAAATAAATAAATAAATAAATAAATAATCCAAGTTGTGTCAAAACTAAAACTTTAGTGTGTTTTAGTTTTAAAGCCAACCATAATAGCAACACTCATTCTAAAGGGAAAATGTTCTTCAGCATTCTACTGCATGTAACTGCCATGGATTTGTTTTGTTTTTAAAGTCTTTTTCCCCCTTAAAAAGATCACCTTCACCAACTGCTCTGCTCTTCAGTTTTCTAAGATCCATCCCCACCTATCAAATATATACTCATATCTCCCTTAGTGTGTGATCATCCACTGGAGCATGGTAAGTTTACCAAAATTTTATTCATTAATCACACTGCTTTAGAAGTTGTAAACAGAAGATATTCTGGGAAATACTTATAAAATGTAGGCGATATTCAAGTACACCTTTTTTTATGATTTTAACTCTCTCTTTAAATAAGACAATTGGGGAGGGAATCAAGCTTGAAACACTGTAGCACATATTTTGGCAAGAGAGCAATCAAAATCTAATGTACAAGTTATTTTATCCAAATTAAAAAGCATTAAAGAATAAACCATAATATTGGGGGAGGGAAAACATAGCAAACACAAGATATAGTATGTCTAAACATCTTGAAATTATAATTTATGGGTAAAACTTGAAAATAATGCTGTTCTACCTAGAAATTAAGTGCACCTTTTCTCCTGTTTCTCCCAAATAGAATCAGAGTTTACGATTTCATCACACCTCAAAGCTTTTCTCTCAGTACAAAGCAACCACTAAACATGCACACAAAAACTAATTTTTTTTTATGAATTTACCTGAAGTACCAGAATGGCTTAATGGTTAAGGTGTTGGACTTAAGATCCAATGGATTTATATCTGCATGGGTTTGAACCCCACTTTTGGTAAATATACTTTTAGGGCTGGAGACATAGCTCAGAGGTTAAGAGTACTGGTTGCTCTTCCAAAGGTCCTAAGTTCAATTCCCAGTAACCATATGGCGGCTCATTACCATCTATAATGAGATCTAGTGCCCTCTTCTGGTGTACAGGCTGAACAATACATATAATAAATAAAATAAAAATCTTTTTACAATCTTTTTAATATTCATTACAGTTTATTGTATCCTAGCTGTATCTTGCTCCCTCATTCCCTCCCAAACCCACCCTTCTTCCATCATCTCCTCCCTGACCCTTTCCAAGTCCACTGATAGGGGAGGACCTCCTCCCCTTTCATCTGACCCTGGTTTATCAGGTATCTTCAGGACTGGCTACAAAGTCCTCCTCTGTGGCCTAGCAGGGCTGTTCCTCCCTCGGGTGGGGGGGGTGGTCAAAGAGCCCACCATTGATTTCATGTCAGAAATAGTCCCTGTTCCCCTTACTAGGAAACCCACTTGGATACTGAACTACTATGGGCTACATCTGAGCAGAGGTTCTAGGTTATATCCTTACATGGTCCTTGGTTGGAGAAACAGTCTCATAAAAGACCCTGTGCCCAAATATATTTGACCTTGTGGAGTTCCTGTCCTCTCCAGGTCTTACTATCTCCTGGATTTGTTGCTTTTTAACTTCTTTAGTTCTTTATATATTCTGGATATCAGCCCTCTGTCAGTTAAAGGGTTGATGAAGATCCTTTCCCAGTCTGTAGGCTGTTGTTTTGTTCTGACAACAGTATCTTTTGCTTTACAGAAGCGTTTCAGTTTCATGGGGTCTCATTTATTGATTGTTCATCTTAGAGCCTGTGCTGTTGGTGTTCTGTTCAGGAAGTTGTCACCTGTGCCAATGAGTTCCAGGCTCTTCCCCACTTTTTCTTCTGACCGATTTAGTGTGTCTGGTTTTATGTTGAGTTCTTTGATCCACTTGGACTTTAGTTTTGTGCAAGGTGATAAATATGGATCTATTTTCATTTTTCTGCATGTAGACATCCAGTTGGACCAGCACCATTTGTTGAAGATGCTGTCTTTTTTCCATTGAATGGTTTTGCCTTCTTTGCCAAAAATCAAATATCCATACTTGTGTGGGTTTATTTCTGGGTCTTCCATCAGCCCCACTGAGCCACTATTTCCTTGGCTTGTCCAATATGCAATGAGGATGACTCCAAAGACTACAATTCGGGTTGTGTGTACACAAAAGGAAAAACCACAACTCCAAGTTTTAAAACTTATTCTTAAAAAGCATGGGGCAAGCAGGTCATTTTTATTACTCATGAGGAAATTACACTATCATTTAATCATCTTCCTTAGGATGACAAGAATTATCAGTTGCAGATCTAAAGTGATTAGGACTAGAGATACAACTTTTAGAATACTTTATTTCTTAATGGCTGAGGAAGGTCATTACAATTGTTTTCATCTGCAAGCTTCATCACCTAACAATCTACCATTCTCAAGGTTCTTACTTTAAATGGTGTAACATTCTAAAAGTAGCCAATTACTTCAGTATAAGCCATTCAGAGGCCAAAATCTGAAGAATGACCAAAATCAAATCTTTATTTTTTTGTAACTGTATAAATATGATCAAATGTGTCTACCACTAGTTTTTCCAAAGGAAACATGCTATAAATAAGCAAACAACTGCTCACTGTTAAGTATGCATTCCCTGTATGCCTCATTGGGCTTCATTATAGACCATTCACAGTAATAGCTTTTTTAGTTATCAAGTGTAGCATGATGTTAAGCCATTACTTTTCTTGCACATATATGTTTTGCTTCTGGCTGATAATGGAGAAAATTGTGCAGCCTTATACTGTTAGGCTAAGTTGCATCCAGGCTTTTGAATCAGTGTCATCATCTTTGTTGTCAGACTTCACAGTTTCAACTTTTGGTACATTGGCAGTCTTTAAATATCTATCAAAAACCTCAATATCTTCATCTTAATCTTCTTCCTCACCACAAGAAGATTCTTCCTCTGCTTCCTTCAACCATTTAATAAATGGTTCTGCTTTGACACAATGTTTTTGTCAAGTTCTTTTGAGACATATTTCTTAGAGGCCTTTTTTGACCAGCTGATGATGTTCTCTTCTAAAAGGTCTGCATCACAAATCTCCTTCCAGATACATGGAATCTTGGAGAGCAGCTGAATTTGAAGCATTGCCACCACACACTCCTGACCACACACTCCTGCACCTTTTTGTTGTTTTGACAAAACCTTAGGAAATGGCGCCTGTATTTCTTGATTTGCTCTTTTATCTTCTCATTAACAAGAACTTCAGTCAAAACAAGAGGACCCATGGCTTCTACATCCAGTCTTTCTGCCTCAGCCACAATTTCTTTATCAGATAAATCAAAAATACCTTGTTCTTTCTTTTTCTTAGCAAAATCAAACAAGATGTTGACATGCTCTTCTACAGTTCTTTCCAAATCATCGCGTGTCAGAGCTATTGCGTGGTCACTGGTGTACCCTCCCCCGACCATCACCCTCCTCCTCTTCCACAACATGTGGAGGACGAATAATTTCATTTGTGGTGGTGTCTCATCACTGGATTCAGAACCATTTTCCTTGTCCTTGCACTTTCTACTTTTCTTTTTTCCTGTACCACTAACACTATTCTCAGGTGGGTTTTTGAGAATGAATGCACAGAGTTTACAATGCGTGTTAAGCATGTGTCCATACCCACAGGCTTTACAGGAATTGCCTATTGTTTGCTTCTTTGAATTGACCTGCAGATCTGTTTCAGGATTCTCACACTCAAGACAGAGAACCATTTTTTTTAATTTTTTTATTAGTTACACTTTATATTGACTTTGTATCCCCCCATAATCCCTTCCCTCCTCCCCTACTGAACCCACTCTCCCTCCCCTTTCTTCACACATGCCCCTCCCCAAGCCACTGATAGGGGAGGTCCTCCTCTCCTTCCTTCTGATCTTAGTCTATCAGATCTCATCAGGAGTGGCCGCATTGTCATCTTCTGTGGCTGGTAAGGCTGCTCCCCACTCAGGGGGAGGTGATCAAAGAGCAAGCCAATCAGATTATGTCAGAGGCAGTCCCTCTTCCCATTATTATGGAATCCACTTGGACACTAAACTGCCATGGGCTACATCTGTGCAGGGGTTCTAAGTTATCTCCATGCATGGTACTTGGTTGGAGTATGAGTCCCTGGGAAGACCCCTGTGTTCAAATTTCTGGTTCTGTTGCTCTCCCTGTGGAGTTTCTGTCCTCTCCAGATTTTACTATTTCCCACTTCTTACATAAGATTCCATGCACACTGCCCAACAGCTGGCCATAAAGTCTCAGCGTCTGTTTTGATAGTCCGCAGGGCAGAGCCTTTTAGAGGCCCTCTGTGGAAAATTCCCTGCCTGTTTCGTGTTTTCTTCCTCCTCTGATGTCTTTCCTCTTTGCCTTTCGGGATGAAGATTGAGCATTTTAGTCAGGGTCTTCTCTCTTGATTAGTTTCTTTAGACTAGACGTATAGATTTCAGTAGGTTCATCCTATATTACATGTCTATATGAGTGAGTATATACCGTGTGTGTCTTTCTGCTTCTGGGACAGCTCACTCAGGATGATCCTTTTCAGGTCCCACCATTTACCTGCCAATTTCATGATTTCCTTATTTTCCATTGCTGAGTAATATTCCATTGTGTAGATGTACCACAATTTCTGCATCCATTCTTCAGTTGAGGGGCATCTGGACTGTTTCCAGTTCCTGGCTATTACAAATAAAGCTGCTACAAACATGGTTGAGCAAATGTCCTTATTGTGTACTTGAGTGTCTTTTGGATATATGCCTAGGAGTGGTATAGATGGATCTTGAGGAAGCACTATTTCTAATTGTCTGAGAAAGTGCCAGATTGATTTCCAGAGTGATTGTACAAGTTTACATTCCCACCAGCAGTGGAGGAGGGTTCCCCTTTCTCCACAGCCTCTCCAGCATGTGTTGTCACTTGAGTTTTTCATCTTGGCCATTCTGATGGGTGTAAGGTGAAATCTCAGGGTCGTTTTGATTTGCATTTTCCTGATGGCTAATGAGGTTGAGCATTTCTTTAAGTGTTTCTCTGCCATTTGATATTCCTCTACAGAGAGTTCTTTGTTTAGCTTTGTTCCCCATTTTTTAAGTAGATTACTTGGTTTGCTGCTTTACAGCTTCTTTAGTTCTTTATATATACTGGATATTAGCCCTCTGTCAGATAAAGGTTTGGTGAAGATTCTTTCCCAATCTGTAGGCAGTCGTTTTGTTTTGATGACAGTGTCCTTTGTTTTTCAGAAGCTTTTCAGTTTCATAAGGTCCCATTTATTGATTGTTGCTCTTAGAGCCTGTGCTGTTGGTGAGAAACAATTTTTTAACATGTCTTGCAGCTTATTCACTGCATGAGATCCATTGACAATGTAACAGTTATTCTGAACATCAAACTAGGTCTGTGCTCCCAGCTCACAACCAAAATATTTGGTGGGTTACATTGGAGGCTGAGTAAGCACTTTGCAATGTCAACCATATTGACTATAACTGTCTTGATTCCATTTCTTTTGCCCTCAAACTTAGCAATCAAACAGGGTATCTTGTAGTGATAGAACTGATCTGACATGTTGCGCTTGACACTGACAGACATTTTGGCTTATTATTGACTTTATCAATAAGATTAAAAGATCTTTGATTGCAACTCTTTGGGATCTTCTGTCTGGAGTAGAAGGGATGACATAAATGATTGCAAGAGTTCTGGGTCCCTGACATGAAAAAATTTTCACCACTGATGCTGTAAGCTTCTTGGTTGTATGCTGTTTCCCCAATACAGGTACCACTGTATGTGCAACAGCTCTTTGGAATGTTTTCACTCTGACTGCAAGTACACATGTTTTCAAGGGATGCTTATATACTTATCACACAACTGCGAAAGGGACCATTATCAACCTTTGCACTCTCCCATGTAAATTCATTTCAAACTCATTTGCCACTTTTTTATTTTTATTTTCACAG